CGCCCCACGCAGGACTGGCCGTCAGCAGCTAATGGGTGGAAGACATAAAGATACGTTAAAAAATGCATCTACATTTCACGTTATCTAAAACGATTTCTTCCTTTAATTAGGATGTCTTTGAAGAGGAGGTGGCGTATGTCAGAGATAGTACAGCGTTGGCTTCGCGGTCACAAGGTCTCGATTCCCGCCCGTCCATGCCCCTCCCATGCCCCCCCCCCCACACACACACACACCCGAAAGTCCACTTAGATATGGGGACCAACTTCGACTTTGAACCTTATAACCTCTAATAACTTTATTTTTCTCTTCCCTTATGAGGATGAGTCATATATATTTCTGTCTACTTCCTTTCGTGTTCCTTCTCATGATTTGTAATTTTTTGAGTTACTATTATTGGCTTCTAGATCTGCTCCATCAATAAAAGTCTTCCATAATTAAAGTCAATCGTAATAAAAAAAAATAAGACGACGGATTCACCGAATAGGAAAGTGAGATCGAAAACCTGTGGCCTTGGATTTTTTTTTCTCTAATCTCTAACTTCTCTGCTTTTGCCTTCTTTGTACAGAGAAAATGATACACTGATATCTCTCATAATGTCTCGGTGCACTTGTCTTCATACTAAGAACTGAACTACAAATCCATCTTAAAATGGGGAGAGCTTCATGGTCATTACAACTGGTATTCGTAATATATGATCGACACTGTCCTGTATACACCATTAGTATTTTTAGATAGTCACATTCGCCAAGTGCCTTCAACATTCGCCATTAATATTCGCCATATATTCATTCATAATCACCTGTACCTTTTCGTATTCTCCATAAACATATGATATTTGCTACATATTAATTTTCGCTATTTATCCATTCACATTTCTTTTTTTTTATCATCTGTATTCTCATTCTCCATATACCATTACCATTCATGCCCCATCTCCCGGATGGTTCCCGTTCCCCCACCATGCAATTCCCATCATCAACCATTCACCATTCAACCATTCATCAAATCCCATTCACCACCATCAATGGTTCCCGTTCCCATTCACCATGCCCATCAATGGTTCCCGTTCCCATTCACCATGCCCCATCAATGGTTCCCGTTCCCATTCACCATGCCCCATCAATGGTTCCCGTTCCCAATCCCCCATGCCCCATCAATGGTTCCCGTTCCCATTCACCATGCCCCATCAATGGTTCCCGTTCCCATTCACCATGCCCATATGGTTCCCGTTCCCATTTGCCCATCAATGGTTCCCGTTCCCATTCACCATGCCCCATCAATGGTTCCCGTTCCCATTCACCATGCCCATCAGTTCCCATTCACCATGTTCCCGTTCCCATTCACCATGCCCCATCAATGGTTCCCGTTTCACCATGCCATCACATTCACATGCCCCATCAATGGTTCCCGCACCATGCCCCATCAATGGTTCCCGTTCCCATTTCAATGGTTCCCGTTCCCATTCACCAATCATGTTCCCGCCCCATATCCCGTCAAACCGATCCATCCATGGTTCCCGTTCCCATTCACCATGCCCCATCAATCCCGTTCCCACACCATGCCCCATAATGTTCCCGTTCCCATTCACCACATCCATGGTTCCCGTTCCCATTTCACCATGCCCCATCAACCATTCACCATGCCCCATCACTGGTTCCCGTTCCCATTTACCATTCCATGGTTCCCGTTCCCATTCACCATCATCCATTCCCATTCAACATGCCCCATCAATGTTTCCCGTTCCCATTCACCATGCCCCATCAATGTTTTTTTCCAATATTTTCTTCACATACTATTTACGAAGGGCTTACCCGAAAACAGGAGGAGGAGGGTAAGGAATTTCATCCTGGCTGCTGCAGTGATGACTCGAGTCTGGGACGCCTCAGACCCACTGAGGGTATTTATGTGTTCTGTTCATCCGTTCATCTTCGTTGCGACATTGTTGTGGAGTGAATTAATCATGGATAAATGAAGGACTTTGTAATGGGGTAGAATACCATTTCGTTTTGGACTTTGGGCTCGTTGTAAGTCTATAAATCGTGTGGTTATTATGATTGCCTGTTTTCTCTCTTACTCTTAATATTATTACTAATCTCTACATGTATGGAGTTTTCCTATTTATTTCACAGCTAAACAGAGGTCGACCAGTGAAGGACTGGTTGTTCATCAGTAATCTATACATCACTGTGAATAACTTAAATATATAAAACAGCCTACTTAGATATTAATTAATGTAGAATATGTTTCATTGTTCGATATATTACTAAAACCCTTCCAGGTATTTGGTACTTTGGTATATTTGTACTAAAATGACGTTGCATTAAAATGGAAGAAGAAAGTCAGGGTCTTCGCAAACGCGCTTCTCAGTTACATCATCCACCCTGAGCATCCAAGAACGCCGGATATGCGAACGCGGTCTTGCTGCGTCCGATTCATCAACTTTTGACCTATGGCGAAGAATCTACACCATGCACTTCCTCTCCTATTTTCCAAGAGCTTT